CCAGGTTATCCACAACACCAGATGAGCTGTTCAATGCTAATACTATAGAGGCTGTCCAATAAAAACATTATAGCCTATAAACATTTAGAGCTCTACTTTGTCCATATGTAGCTCCCTGTCCTGCCAGAAGCTCCGGTGTTGGCTCTAGAGGCCTGTGGTTTGACTTTTACCCCACCCAACCCCCTGAGCGGGCCTGGGGTGAGGAGACCTCCTCTCAGCCCACTCTCTGAGAGAGGAAGCTCTCAGCTGTACTGCTTCTATTTCCTCTATCGCAGCAGTTGGTCTCAGACCCTCCCCTGCATGTCAACACCTAAAATAACATCTTCACTATCCTCTTGTGGTTGAATCATGTCCGTTAGATCCTCGTGTTTAGTATCTGGGAGGGATTGTGCTAGCAGACAACCTCCCTAAACATCTATTCAAAGATAGATATAGAAACTCACTCTGGATCTGAAGGGCACCGGAAGGCAGTTGAGAGGTGCCGACGTGGCCAGATGACTTGCCAAAAATGGGACGTCCGTCCTGGCGTCTCCATGTCAGAGAAGGTGTGGGGAAACCACGGGCGATGCATGGTAGAGTAATGTTATCACCCACACCGGCTGTTATGTCCACGGGAGACTCGGAGAACGTAGGAGCAGCTGCAAAAAAAAACACTTTGTTTGCAAAAAGTGTAAAAAAAAAAAAAAAAAAAAAATAAAAAAAAAAAAAATTATGCTGAACGCACTTTTTTTTTTGCAGAAGATAATAAATAATAAAAAAAAGAAAAAGAAATAATCAATCTTCAACTCTCCTTCTTTACAATTTAAATATTTTTCTTTTTCCTCTCCTCACTATTATTATTATTAATATTATTGTTGTTGGTGGTGTTGTTGTTGTTATTGGATTTTATTATTATTTTGGTTTAATAATCAGTATTATTATATTACTGTGTTTTGTCTGTTAATAAGTGAAAATAAAAAGTAAAAAAAAAAACATTAATTTCTATTTAAATAATATTTAAATAATTTGATTTGGGTTTAGGCCAACTACATATTTTACAAAATCCAACAAAGCCAAAGTCAATAAACATCATGCTTATTGTGTGTGTGTGTGTGGGTTTTTTTTTTTTTTTTACACACAGTAAAAATGTATCTTTATGTACAGCTGTCTTTATTTTTTAGAAAGGGGGGGCCCTCTCAAAGGTATCATAGTATTTTGGGGTCCCTGGCATTAAGAAAGTGTGAAAACTCCTGAATTACATCTGAGAACAAAGTAGAAAATATATAGATGGGAAAAATCAGCTTTACAACCAATATTAAATTGAACAAATTTATTTCCAACATATTTTTCCTTTTTCCCCTCACACATTATATGTAGGATAATAATTATGACGAAAAGTTTGTCATTTTTTACAATGTAAAAATATTTTCTCCCATCCCAGTTTAATATGCAGAAACAACTAACTAAACAAAGACATCTGTAAGTTGATTCTCTCAAAAAGTTTAGTCGCAGTTTATTTGCTCAGTTTATTTGCATATTATGACCAGATAAATATCTTCTCAGCCAATGGTGTGAGTTTGGATGCAAGAACACCTGTTTGATTGACCAATGGCAGAAAGAGGAAGCATTCTGGGAACTAGAACATTAAGTCGTAATATATAACAATCATTATTTCTGTAATTACGCTTAGTGATGCTAGTGGCACATATCACTTTTAATGTAAGTTCTATATAATGTTATAATCCAGTTCTGAATCATTCAAGCATGCTCGTAAACTGGCCATGAGCTACTGGGAGTCTGAGAATCCTGTCAGGAGCTGTTAAAAGTCCCGTTAAAGACACATTCCCAAAAACCAACCTTTGCTCTCCAAATTTCACACTCTGCAACAAAGCGGGAAAAACATTTCCACTTGCGGTTTGGAAGCTCATGGGCTTATGGGTGTGTTCTGCTTAAAATCAGATAGTTCTGTCCAAGGTTTTTGATTCATGCTATGAACTACATATGCTTCAAAGTTTTGGAAAAGCAATAGAAATACTGCGACAGTGAGCTCAATAAATAAAAGTCCACATAAAATGAAACTGTTCTGTATAAAATGCACAGTAATATTTATATTGTGTCAGCTTGTAATGCAGCTGAGGTCTTGTTCTCACCTCCCACCTGTAGTATGACCACAGCAGAGGCAGACCCGGCAACGTTTGAGGCCACACAGGTATAGTCTCCAGAATCCAGTTCCTGAACCCCACGGATCCACAGCGATCCACGATGGACATTCTGCTCCGCAAATGGAACTGTTCCCAGATCCAGATCCCCTGAAGACGGATGGTGCAAGAATCAAAGAAAACATACACCGTTGCTGTAACAACCCACTACAAGTAATGCAATATCCTAAACCGTTTATAAAACCCAGAAAATTAATAACAGTCTCGAAAGCATGAAGAAATATCATATGTTGTATGTTGATATATTTTTTATACATTTGATTTGGTTAAAGTTCGGTCTGTTTGACACATTTTTATCATTTTGCACATTGTTTTTTTTGTCGACTAAAATGATACATTGCATTCAGAAAGTATTCAGACCCCCTTCACTTTTTAAAATTTTGTTATGTTGCAGCCTGATTCTACAATTGTTTAAGGGTGTATTCACACCTGTCTTGCTTGGTTTGATTGAATAGAACTCAAGTTCGTTTCCCCTCTTGGTGTGTACCTTTTTGGCAGGTGTGAATACAGCAATCGCACTCGGGTGCGGACCAAACAACCGCACCGAGACCCAGCTGAAGAGGTGGTCTCAGTCCGCTTCCAAATGAACTCTGGTACGGTTCGTTTAAGGTGTGAATATGACCCGACCTCGATCCGACCCAACTGCAGAAATCACGCTCAGAAACAGACAGCTCGCGCATAGTGCTGTTATTTGCGTTTCAATGGCTTAAATCACTTGTTTTTAAACCACAATGCTTAAAAACAGATGCAAATGGTGAGTTTTCGTGACCATGGCACACAGCAACGTGACGTAAGCGCGCTAAATAGGCTAAAGCATGCCGCAAAAATTACCATGACTATGTTGGGGGGAAATAGTAAGGAGATATTTGAATTATTTATTAAGAAACTAGTGTTTTATGAGTCAGTGTCACAAAGATGAAGTTGATGATCCTGACTTGCCATCTCATCATTGGACGTGCCTTTAGAAAGAAATGCATCTTTACGGATTACATAAGAGTTTCTGTTTTGGATTTGAATTATTTCGTTTTGTAGTCATTTAAAGCTTTTTAATAGATATATTCATCATGTCTGTAAGGAAAATATTAGCCGAGTTTTAGTTCATTTTTGTGAAGCGCTCCTGTTCAAGACCCGAGACGGCAAGCGCATCCTATTTGTTTTTTGTATTATTTTACAAAAGCACAACGTTTTTGATATTGTGAGTGCACACAAATAAAAATAGACCCTTTACAGTTCCGAACAATGTATTATTCTTACCTTTATGAGCAAAAATGACGGCATATTTAATTTGTTTCCACTGATGTCCTGAAGCGCGCTTCAGCTTCCACTCTCCACACAAACGATTGGATATGCGCCTAAAAGCGCACATTTATATAGATTAAATGTTTAAACTAACATTGTGATGTGCTTTAAGTATTTTATATCTATAGATTTTATTTTCGGCAAGTCGTAATTTCAACATCATCTGACATTCTCTTATGATGCTCATAAGTTTCTTCATATTGCGTTAGTATCTGATAACACCAGATCAGCAAAAGAATAAAAATTGCACTATGAAAGATCTCCATGATTAGCCTGTTTTTGCACTTCCTGTTTCTCCCTGCTTGAGAATTTCTGTCCAAAAAATGGATGACCTTAGCACACGTTTAGAATTTCTGGTTCACTTGCAAAAAGGGCAGTGTGAAAGCGAACCGCACCAAACTTTTTTTTCCTCAATCTACACTCCGTCCCTCATAATGACACAGCGAAAACAGAATTTTCGAAGTGTCTGTAAATTAAAAAGAAAAAAAAAAAAAAAGAACTATCACATTGACATAAGTATTATTAAACTATTATACTCAGTACTTAGTTGAAGCTCCTTTGGCAGAAATTACAGCCTCGAGTATTTTTGGGTATGAAGCAATAAGCTTTGCACACCTGGATTGGGGGATTTTCTGCCATTCTTCTTTGCAAATCCTCTCAAGCTCCGTCAGATTGGATGGGGACCACCGGTGGACAGCCATTTTCAGGTCTCTCCAGAGATGTTCGATAGGGTTCAAGTCAGTGCTCTGGCTGGGCCACTCTAGGACATTCACAGAGTTGTCCCTAAGCCATTCCTGTGTTGCCTTGGCTGTGTGCTTAGGGTCATTGGATGTTGGAAGGTGAACCTTCTGCCCAGTCTGAGGTCCCGAGCGCTGCGGAACAGGTTTTCATTGAGAATCACTCTATACTTTGCTCCATTCAGCTTGCCATCAACCCTGACCAGTCTCCCAGTCCCTGCCGCTGAAAAACACCTCCACAGCATGAGGTTGCTACAAGCACACTTTACTTTTGGGATGGTACTCTGCAGGTGATGAGCAGAGCTGGTTTCCTTCAAACATAATTTGTAGAACTGAGGTTCTTCAGACCAGAGAATCTTGTTTCTCACAGTCGGAGATTCCTTTAGATGCGGTTTTGCAAATTCCAAGTGTGTTTTCATGCGTCTCCACTGAGAAGAGGATTGAGTTTGGCCACACCACCATAAAGCCCAGATCGGTGGAGTGTTGCAGTGATGTTTGTCCTTCTGTAGGTTTCTCCCATCTGCATATATGATCATGGAGCTCAACTACAGTGACCATCAGGTTCTTGGTCACCAGTCAAGACAAGGCCCTTCTCCATTAATTGCTCAGTTTGGCTGGGCGACCAGCTCTTGGAAGAGTCCTGATTGTGGCAATCTTCTTCCATTTGAGATTTATGGAAGCCACAGTGCTCTTGGGAACCTTCAGTGCAGCAGAATTTTTTTTTTTGTAGCCTTGCCCAGATCTGTGTCTCGATACAATCCTGTCTCTGAGCTCTGCAGGCAGCTCCTTTGACCTCAGGTTTGGTTTTTGCTCTGATATGCATTGTCAGCTGTGAGGCCTTTTATACAGAGGTGTGTGCCTTTCCAAATCATGTGCAATCAATTTAATTTACCACAGGTGGACTCCAATCAAGGTGTAGAAACATCTCAGCAACAATTAAGAGAAATGGGAGGCACCTGAGCTAAATTTCAAGTGTTGTTTACATGTATGTAAATGATATATTTTAGTTTTATCTTTTTAATCAATTTACAGACATTTCTAAAATTCTGTTTTCACTTTTTCATTATGAGGTACAGAGTTTAGCTTAATGAGGAAAAAAATGAATTTAAACAATTGTAGTATCAGGCTGCAACATAACAAAATTGAAAAAAGTGAAGGGGGTCTGAATACTTTCTGAATGCACTGTATGTCAGTTTTGTCAGAGAATAATTAGAGCAAATAAATATGACCAATAAAAGACATTTTCATCAAAAAACAAATAAAAACTGTAAAAAGAGGTGAGGTGCCTTGTGCTTAGGGACAGTATTTACCTTTTTGCCATTTTACTAATGGAGGAGGAGTGCCAGAAGCCTGACATTCCAGACTGGCATCTTCACCAGCAATGACCATCACCACCTGCTGTGCCACAGAGATGCTCGGAGGCTCTGAGAAAACAACAAGTGAGAAAGGAATTAAAACTAGCATTGTTTAAATATCATGTAAATATCTGTCTTTGTAAATATCTGGTTATGTTCAGAATTAAATATTAGCTTACTACTTACTGAAAGTGCACAGTATGCACTGTATACTGCCAACTACTTCTTAAAAATAGTAAGTGTAACAGTATGCATTATTGTATGATAAATATGTGAGTATCTTATGTTGTTTTCACATGACCTCATTGCATTGTACATTTTAAGTAATATCCAATCATTTCATATTCTTCATCTAATTTTGTTAAAAATTGTCTAAAACTTGAATAATATGGGGGGAATAAAATAATGAGTTAAACATTTTAAAAATCAAAACTGATATTACTCCTGGTTCATCCATCAAACTTTTCTTTTAAAAGAAATTAATATTTTTATTCAATAAGGATGCATTCATTTTAAAAAAGTGTCTGTAAAGACCTTTATAATGTTATATAGGTGCATCTCAATAAATTAGAATGTCGTGGAAAAGTTCATTTATTTCAATAATTCAACTCAAATTGTGAAACTCGTGTATTAAATAAATTCAATGCACACAGATGAACTTTTCCATGACATTCTAATTTATTGAGATGCACCTGTAAGATATTTATATTTCAAATAAATGCTTTTTATTTATCAAAAAAATCCTGAAAAAAAATATTTATCACAAAACTATCAAGCAACACAACTATTTTTAACATTGATAATAACATGAAATGTTTCTTGGGCAGCAAGTCAGCATATTAGAAAGATTTCTGAGGGATCATGGGACACTGAAAACGGTCAACACAAGAATGGAATATTAAACATATACATATTAAAATAAAATTTATTTTATTATTTTAAATTGTAATAATATTGCACAATATTACTGTTACATTTTAAAATTCAATTTTGCCGTCACAGAAATATATTTAATTTTAGAATCTATTGCTACGTTTTTTTACTGTATTTTTGATCGAATAAATACAGTCTTGGTGACTTATTTCAAAAACATTTTAAAAAATGTTTAAGTTTAGTATGCCAACTGAATTCAGTAGCCCCTCACTGCAGAACAAAGAACCAGGGGGCGGGGTTGGATCCACATCTAGGGGGTGGAGATGGTAGGTTTAGGGGGGGAGATGGGTGGGTTTAGGGATCAGGGGATGGAGACGGGTAGGTTTAGGCATAAGACAGAGATAGATAGATAGATAGATAGATAGATAGATAGATAGATAGATCAAAAGAACGACAGATGTATAGATAGATTGTTGCACATGCACTTACTATTTTTGTTGTTTTGAAAAATAACAGCACACATATTTGGAATGACATGAGGGTGAGTAATTTTAGTGAACTATTCCTACACATTACTTGGCACAAAACCTTTGAGTCTGCAGGCATGGCAAAATGGATGATGAAAACTCCACACACTATAATAGTATAATAATGGTGGAAGTCTAACTGCACATGTTGAAAGTTGCTCACAGTGAGATACACTTTATCGATTTGTTTGGCTATTTGTCTCCAAAAGGACCCGCCAATCTAAGATCACATTAATCTTCCTTATTTGAAACATGCAGGGCTCAAACTTGCTGGCTGTGTAGAAGTTGCGCTGTGGTTTGGAGGGTTTTAATGGAAAACACATGACGGTAGGCCTCGAGAGGCCGCAGGAGCTGAGTGTTTGACCAGGTGCTGCAGAATACCTAGGACTACCAGCCATACGACAGCCTGGCTCTCTCCGTGGGCGTTTGTGGCTCTGCACTGGTAGGGTCCGGCGTCCTGGCTGCGAACCCAACTGATCTCCAAAGAGGAATTGGCCAGTACTTTCACCCTTCCTGAGTGGGATGATAAAGCAGTGCCGGTCCGATACCAGGTCAGGTTGTGCCGCACAGAGCCTTGAACCTGACAGGACAGCACTGCCACTGTTCCCAGGAATGACGTCACATTCACGGGAGGATGCAGAACAGGAGGGGGCTCTGCATTAAGAGAAATGATGATGACATGCTTATAAAAAGACTACAGTATGTGAGGCAACAAATCTCTCAGTTTAATGTTGTCATAGCAGTCAAATACAAGACTTTTGGCTGTGACTTACAATTCCACTGCAAAAAGCTTTTCTCATTTAGAGTTTCCTTTAATTCTGGAGATTACACCCTCCTTAGCAAGCTGAAGCCTTGTTTATATTTTCACATGACCCTCTGCACATTGTGTGCGCAGTTCACGACACTCAAGAGGCATTTATACTTGATATGTTCCACGCTGAACTATTCTCCGCAACAACAGAAGGCAGCATGCAGAAAATATTAGCTGAACCAGCAAGTGATATTTTTACATTAACTGAATTTCACATTAACCTAGCCAGAAAAAAAAAAATTACATGGTTTCAGTGAACATTATGTTTTATTTTTTCCTGGATATGTCAATGTAAATTGCTTTTCTTGATCATATACAAAAAGTGCACAAAACAACAAATGCACTAGTATATACTCTAACTTCTACTCTGGTTGCAAACGCCTACATTTTCAGTTATTTTATGATTTAATATTTCATACTTCTTTAATATATTTAATATTTAACATATGTATTTAATATATTATATTTTGCCAACAATTATTTTATCGCGCATTAACACAGTTTATTATTATTATTATTATTATTTTGAAAGTCAGATGCTCACAACCATGGGTCACAGGAGGGGTGGGATGTTGATCAATACTGGCTTGGGATGGGTAGCGGTGGCCAGAGTGAGGCTTCATGAAACACTGAAACAGTCGAAGCAAATGTGCCGAGGCTTCGAAACAATTCGACACGCGTCTCTACGGTGACACCTAGTGGTCATTTTCAAGTATTGATCTGAAACAGCATTGAAAACGAATCAGTTAAGCGAATTGACGAATTATAACATATATGTTGTGCTCGTCATTCCGCCATGTGGGTTGGGGGAGTGGTTAGTGTGCACGATTGGCATGTTGTCAGAACCAGCATTGGCATAGTGTCAGTCACTAGCTGCGTTTACATGGACCCTACTAATCTGATCGTAATAGGACTATTAGCACAATCAGAATAAAAAAGTCACATGTAAACACGTCAATCGGATTGAATGGGATGGGTGTCATCACACGCCTCAACCAATGAGAGCATTTGGAGTGGGCCTGCAGCAGCGCTCACATGAGCGCTCCCGATAAAATTATTTAGGCTAAGCATCAACATTCACAAACCACTGTTCATTGTTATTTTTTAACAGAAAAGCAAGCATGGGCTGCTGCGTGCATGGTTTGGAAGGCAGAATAGGACCAGCGGTCTCTTTATTATTACTTAAAATCTGACATCTCAGTTCATCGCGATCTCATAAAGCTCTGTTATAACACAATGAATATATGCACAATAAATCTTCGATAATGTCTACACTTCGTATGTCATAATGAGAGGATTCGTAAGCACACAATTTTCAGGACTGCGCAAGAACTTTTGAGCGGTGAGTGGATTCTGACTTAAACTCCTCTGATTGGCCATTGCGTTCCTGAAATCAACAGATATGTAGGGTTGGGTACCGAAACCCGGTACCAATATGGCACCGGTACCTATGTAACCGTATGTACGAAAAAAAAAGTTTTCCCCCCTGCTGTACCGAAATCATACCGAACCGTGACGTTAAAACCGAGGTACGCACCGAACCGTCATATTTGTGTACCGTTACACCCCTAATATATATATATATAAACAAAAAGTTTTATTATCTTATAAAACGTTGATTCTGAAATGTATGTGTCTTGTTTTAAGGACGTTTAGATATTTTTACTGGAAAACAAATAATGATATACAAATAAGGATTTTTTTACAGCGTGGCGACTATGCTGCAAAGACACTGTGCTCGTAAATTTACAAAAATCTAGAGGTGTACAATGGTCCAAAACTGAAAATGTGCGTGTGAATGCAAGACTGTATTGAGTATGGAAAAAAGTACGTAAAATGTGTGTATCCATGCAGTACCTCTGACAGTGAGTTGCGTGAGAGCTCGTCCCATGCCTGCAGTACTCTGGGCCACACATTCATATGCTCCTTCATCACTGCCTGAGGCATGGGGAATTTCCCATGATGCTTTAACTGAAGACCTTCAATTACAAAAAAATTGCAGGTTTAAGTGATGAGTCCAAAAGTGCAGCCTTTGATCACAAACCTGCATTTAACCTGCACAGAAATTCACTTGCGCACAAGAATGGGGTCAAGAATGGAAAGAATTAGACTGAAAATATAGCATTACAGATTACAAATGATACAAATTTATTCAAGCACACAGAGATGGCAGCAGGTGAAAGGAAAAAGACAGTCTGATGTCACTAACAACTAGCTTGCACAGAATACCTTTCAGTATCAGTCAACATTATTTCATGTTCAAAAAGTAATTCAAAACAGAGTGCCCTTTATATAAAAAAAAAAAAACCTTTTCTTTCATTTTTCATGATGACTTTCTTTTTGTGCAGTGCACACAACCCCGACTGTTCATATTCATTCCAAGATTGATATGTCAGTGAAAGCTAACAAATCCTTGTTGGGTTAGGTTTGAATTTCAACTGTAAATGAATGCCCTGTGTCAGCAAGCGGTATCAAACGAAGCAAGAAATTGTCCAGCAGATGTTCACTTTAACATCTGCTCCATTATGTTTACTTAGGGCCATATCACCAGAGAGAATGCTTGCAAAAGTGTTTGTACGTGTTTGGGTTTAGAGAGATATGAAGAAGAAGAAGGATATATGCGAGAAAGACAAAGGGGAGAGAGGAAGAAATATATAGAATGAAAGGTGGAAGAAAAAAATCCACTTTCTACAATATGGTACAACATTGGGTCTGAAAACTTTTTTCTTATAAAACAAAAGATCTGAAAAGAGGGGTATAGGCAGCTACTTTTAATTTTGATTATCAAGAATATCTAATAGTACCCAAAATATAAAAACATGCATCACAAAAACTAATAACAAATCAAATTGTATTGAATTTGAGTGGCGTGTGAGATACAAAAGAAACAGAAACAGACATAGAAGAGAAAGAGGACCATATAAAAAGGTAAGATCTGAGGAGAGCCTCACTCATAGGTTCTTTCCTCTCCTATTGTGCTTCCACCTTTGGTGAATCTCAGCCTATAGGGCAGGTCACTCTCCACAGAGCAGTCAATCGTAGCAGGCTGCATGTAGAAGCCTCTTACCACAGTGGGCATGTTCACTCGTGGAGGCTCTGCAGGGTGAGAGGAGGCCAAAAGGTTAAACTGGTTCATCACAGCTGGGTTACCCAACACAATATAAACAATGTCAACTTGCATCTCAACACCAAAAGAGCATCAAGCCCATTCAAATTGAAAACAAAACAAAAAATAAAAAGTATTTATACAGTGTTCAAACTGTTCAAAGTTTAAACAAAAAACAAACAAAACAAAATGAATAAGAAATTAAAAACCAAACAAAAAGTATTTATACAGTGTTCAAACAGTTCAAAGTTTAAATAAAACAAAAAACAAACAAAACAAAATGAAACAGAAATTAAAAACAAAACAAAAAGTATTTATACAGTGTTCAAACAGTTCAAAGTTTAAATAAAACAAAAAACAAACAAAACAAAATGAAACAGAAATTAAAAACAAAACAAAAAGTATTTATACAGTGTTCAAACAGTTCAAAGTTTAAATAAAACAAAACAAAATGAAACAGAAATGAAAACAAAACAAAAAGTATTTAGACAGTGTTGAATGACGCTTACCTGGGATAATGTTGGTATATGACACACTAGACAGTCTCTGAAAGTTATAGCCATCTCCATCATTTCCAGACACTTTGAGGAAGAAGCTCTGAGAGGGTGTTCGAAACTCTGGGATCCTCCAAATACCTCCTGAGCCTCCATCGTCAGGCAACGGCACAGGAATGGTACGCAAAGAGCGGCCCCCTAAAGATACTAGCTCCATATTGGTAACCAGACCAGGAGGCTTCAGACCTGAACACTTCAGCATCACGTGGGCTGGAACGCCTGGAGGAAAACTGGATATGTTAGAGCTATAATTCTTAATACAGTTAAGTCATGTGCAAACATGAGCACAATCTGGTATTAATTTCTGGTACTAAATATGAACTGTTTTAAATCATTATTTAACAATAAAAACAATTATGTTTTAATAGCATTAATTTTATTATTTTAATGATTTGAATAATATATGTGACCCTGGACCACAAAACCAGTCTTAACTCGCTGGGGTATATTTGTAGCAAAAGCCAAATATACATTACATGGGTCAAAATTATTGATTTTTCTTTTATGCAAAAATTCATTAGGACATTAAGTAAAGATCATGTTCCATGATGATATTTTGTAAATTTCCTACTTTAAATATATAAAAACTTAATTTTTGATTAGTAATATACATTGCTATGAACTTAATTTGGACAACTTTAAAGGCGATTTTCTCAGTATTTTGACTTTGCGCCCTCAGATTCCAGATTTTCAAATAGTTGTCTCTCGGCCAAATATTGTCCTATCCTAACAAACCATACATCAATGGAAAGCTTATTTATTATGTATTAATATGTATAAATCTCAATTTTGAGAAATTGACCCTTATGACCGGTTTTGTGATCCAGGGTCACATATATATATTTAAATATTTTTAGGCTATCGCTGGAGCAATAATCAAAGAAAAAGGGTTATGTAGCCACATGACGATGTAGTAATACCTTTAATAGGTCTCTCTCTGGTCCTGCTGAACTCTGTGACAGGTATACTAGAAAAACCTGCCCTGAAGTCCAGGTTGCTCACACCTGTTACTCTAAGTGTGTGTCTCCCACCGCAGCCCACCTAGACGAGAGAAAAAGCAGGGTTCAATCACTGACATTTTTCAGAAGTATCTGTAGTTAACAGTTATTAACTAGGATCATGGTAGATGCTGTTCAAAGCTTCTAAGTGGCACCTTTAATGTCCATGGTCCTGGTCGAGGGTTCTTCAGGTTGACCACCCGTGCTGAGTTTGGGATGTTGAGCAGTTCTGTCAGACCCTGTCTCTCTCCAACTACGCGACCTATAATTATTTAGATATTGATTTTAAAAAGGTTTATTAATTGCGGTACATTAAAGAAAGGAAGTCAGACATCTGTAGTAATTCCTGAACAACCGTTTAATATAAAAGCATATGCCTACCAAGAGGGTCTCTGAGCTCAATTTGTGGTGCTGGACCACTCAATGACACGGTGACTTCTTTTAAACTGGGGTCAAAGGACACCTCCCACTGAGTCTCCTGGGCAGTTTCATGGTCGGACGAGAGAAGGTGGATCTTCATAGCCTGGACAGTTTCCTCAACCCATTTAAGAACCTAAACAAACATATGAACTATCAAACTCTTCTCCAAGAAGTATTATGAGGTTTCATAGTGCAAACAAGAAAACAATGAACAATATTTGGACACTGTAAGGAAAGAGCAGCTTTAACATTCTCCTAAATATCTCATTTTGTGTTCTACAGAAAAAAGAAAGTCATACAGTTTCAGAATGACATGGGGAGAGTAAATCATGATCTTAATTTCTTGTAAACTATCCCTTTAAGTTTTACCGCATGACACGGTCTATGAACAAAAGACTCAAGAGAATATGCCTGGTGAAGCTCAGTTCAACATGAATCCACTCAAAGACAAGAATTGCAGGCAAGGTAGGATCCCAGTGACATCATCTGTTCATGTAGACTGTCACAAGCGGATCCTTATTAAACAGTGAGGAAATGAGATCAGATCATCTGTCAGCGAGAGAATGCAAACTATTCCTGGACCGACAGGCTATTCATTTCTCAAAGAGCAGCACAAACAGTAAAGGACTGCTGTTCATCCTGGATGATCACAGAGAAGATCACAGCAGATATACAGTGGGTACGGAAAGTATTCAGACCCCCTTCAATTGTACATGGCAAAAAGTACAGGTAATGCATTAGTCATTTTGAAACCATTCCAGATGAGACAAGCTGCTTCAAACATAGACATGAACAGCTTAAAAGGATAGTTCACCCAAAAATGAATGTTCTGTCATCATTTCCTCACCCTCATGCCCTTTCAAACCTGCTTGACTTACTTTCATGAATCACAAAATGAACAGAAAAGCAACATAATCGTCCATATACTTCTGAAGTCATTTGATGTGAGGAACCTTCTCAAATTAAGTTATTATTCACTAATAATCTTCTCATTCAGCTGCAACCAGATAATTTAATGGACCACATTTCTGATCATTTTATGGTGCTTTTGCATCTTTCACTTTTGTGCTCCAAAAATCATACAGGTTTGGAATGACATGAGGTGAGTAAATGATGACAGAATGTTAATTTTTGATCTATTCAACTTCATTTATTTTGAATACTGCAAGGTGCACATGTTCAAAATAGCAGATGTGTACCAGAAGTCGATAATGTGAAATGTGAAACTCACCAACTGTCCAAATGTACTACAATGACCTGAAAGAACTTAAATACATTTAAAATCAACTTTACATCCCATAGTGGATAATTGGGTATGGGGTTTTACTAGGTACACATCAATTAAAGATCATTATTGTGGACAATTTGATACATCACAAAGGAAATTGTGTTTTCACAGCAGCTTATTAGCACAAGGAGAGCGTAAGACCAACAACTAAAGGAAACTGTTTCCTCAGAGTTTGTATTTTTAGATTTCAGTCATTAACTCCTTTAGAGGCAGCTGTGTGTATTTGTTCTGACCTTTTTATATTGAGCACAGACATAATGGCTGCTCTGTGTCCATAACACTGAACGAAAACACCGCTTCAGATCTTTATACATTTACGAATGAGAAAGAGAACTGGAGCGAGCGTAGCCTTTGATAATTTCATTACTCAGTTTCTCCACTATTTCTTTCACTCTTTCGCTCTCTCATTCTCACTGGCTGCAGACGGCAGCTGGTTCCTTTCGGAGTTTACAACTGGAAACAGCTGTAATGAGTGCCACATGTGCAACTATCCCCCACAGAGCAGCAAAAAGCTCACCAATGACCTACATCTGCTCAAACCAGTGTCTGTTTCAATGGACGTCTCATGGGAGCCGGGAAGATTAGCCTAGTGATAGAAAATCGACAAAAAGGCCACAGTGGAGGGAAATATTGTCAACTACGGCCTGTGTGCGTCTAGGAACGGTTTGAAAGGTGCCCCCCAAAAGACATCATCAAAGCCAAAGGGATCCTGAAACCACATCCACCGTGACAAACCTTAATGGGAGGCAACAGACTGGCTTCCTCTGGAAGTTAAGCTGTCATGTTTCAAAGATTAGTTGTGGAGGAGTGTTGGTCGGGAAGCAGAGATGTGGAAAGGATGTGGAGGTCAGCTGAGGATGAGCCGAATTCCAGTTTAGCACCCACACTGTTTGGATAGGTTATGGTTTAAAGGGACGGTTCATCTAAAAGTAAATAATAAATGACCCGAAAGTCCCCAATTACTAACCCTCACATCATTCCAAACCTGAATGCCTTGTTCTTCCATGGAACACGAGGAGAAATGAAAGAAACAGCTCTTACCTATATGATGAAAGTGAATGGGGACTTGAGTTGTCAAGCACAAAAAAGCACAAAAATGTATCATAAAAGTAGTCCATGTGACCAATGCACCATCCCACATCTTAAGAAGTCATATAGAAACAGATCTGAAATTTAAGTTATTTTTTATTATTTTGGGGGTTTGAAATCCCGAGTCCCCACTCACTTTCATTATATGAATAAGAGCAGCCAGTACATTCTTTAGCTTTTCTCCTTTTGTGCTCTACAGAAGTCTTGCAGGTTTAAAATGACATGAAGGTGAATAAATGTTCAGTTCATCTAAAAGTAAATAATAGATGACCCAAAGTCCTCAATTACTCACCCTCACATCATTCCAAACCTGAATGCCTTGTTCTTCCATGGAACACAAAAGGAAAAATGAAAGAAACAGCTCTTACCTATATAATGAAAGTGAATGGGGTCTTGAGCTGTCAAGCACAAAAAAAGCACCAAAATATCATAAAAGTAGTCCATGTGACCAATGCACTTTATGCCACATCTTAAGAAATCATAGTCATAGAAACGGATCTGAAATGGAAGTTATTTTTTTATTATTTGGGGGTTTGAAAGTCCCCCCCACTCACTTTCATTAAATGAATAAGAGCAGCCAGGACATTCTTCAACTTTCTTCTTTTGTGCTCTACAGAAGTCTTACAGGTTTAAAATGACATGAAAGTGAATAAATGTTCAAGTCATCTAAAAGTAAATAATAGATGAACCAGAGTCCTCAATGTCATGGGTTGCTACTGTGAGGAGCATGGAGCGAGGAGACCAGGAGTACAAAACAGGAGTTTAATTGGTTTTTTTTCAGGGAAAAAAAAACAAAAAAACAAAAAAAACACACCCATAGCACAAGGAGTTGACAAACAATTCCAGACCAAGAAACTCCAAACAGGCTAGAAAACGAGGGGCAGACAGGTGAGGAGGATAACTAATAATGAGATACACCTGGAACAAATCAAACTACATTGGGACAGGAACAGGAAGGACCAAATAAGGAAAACAGGAACTCAATGGGAACATACACGTGACAGATCGCCTCCCCTCCGCCGTAACAATCGGGGAGGGGGGGGGATCAGGGAGCCATGGCAGAGCAGGGGACTCAGGAGGCCATGGCAGATCCTCCGTGGGCTTACCTGGCTCGGCCACGGGTATATGGCCCACCCCCAAAATTTTTCTTGGGGAAATCTAGGAATCCTGGGGGGTGCTCTGGAGGAGCGGGCACTAGATGGCACTCTAGAAAGCGCTTACGAGGAGCGGGCACTGGAGCGAGCTCTGGGGCTGGAGCCGAAACTGGGCTTGACTGGAGATCAGGAGCCCTCCCTGGGCTTGACTGGGGATCAGGAGCCCTCCCTGGGCTTGACTGGGGATCAGGAGCCCTCCCTGGGCTTGACTGGGGATCAGGAGCCCTCCCTGGGCTTGACTGGGGATCAGGAGCCCTCCCTGGGCTTGACTGGGGATCAGGAGCCCTCCCTGGGCTTGACTGGGGATCAGGAGCCCTCCCTGTGCAAAACCGGGAATCTGGAGCCCTCCCTGGGCTTAAATGGGGATCAGGAGCCCTACGCGGGCTATACTCGGGAACAGGAGCCCTCACTGGGCTGAACTGGGGATCAGGAGCCCTCCCTGGGCTTAACGGGGAAACAGGAGCCCTCCCTGGGCTATACTCGGGAACAGGAGCCCTTCCTGGGCTGAACTGGGGATCAGGGTAGCGCTTACGTGGTGCTGGCACTGGAGGGTGCTCTGGAGGAGCAGGCACAGCACAGCGCTTTCGAGGAGCTGGCACTGGAGTGAGTTTTGGGGCTGGAGCCGACACTGGGGCCACATGAACGCTTGACGGGCTTGTCACCTTAATGTTCGTTGGGCTTGCCATATTAACGGCCGGTGAACTAGAGTAAGCCGCGGACGGCAGGCTGGTTCTGGCTTGGGGCAGGACGCTCTCCAGACACCGGAGGATTCCTTCCCTCCAGCTCAGTCCCGTGGTGTCTGGGAGGTCCACGGGGCGATGGTAGTTGGCCCCGAGCCAGAACAAAGAATTAATGGTGGCGTCATCAAGGGCCGTAGCCACACCGAGCCTGCAGAACTCCCAGGAATACTCGACAAAGGGGAGATCTAGGCGAGCTAAGGCGGAGAACCGAGCGGCAATTTCCATAGCCGCGAGGAAAACAAGGAAAACAAAAAACTTTTCACAAAGGCGGAAAACACAAATGCGAGAAAAAGTCGCCGCTCACTTTTTGTGTGGTCTGGAATTCTGTCAGGGGTTACTACTGTGAGGAGCACGGAGCAAGGAACGAGAAGACCAGGAGTACAAAACAAAGGAGTTTAATTATTTTTTTCAGGGAATCACATGTAGCACAAGGAGTTGACAAACACAATTCCAGACAAAGAAACTCAGAACAGGCTAGAACTAAATAGGGCAGATAACGAGGGGCAGACAGGTGAGGAGGATAACTAATAATGAGATACACCTGGAACAAATCAAACTACATTGGGACAGGAACAGGAAGGACCAAATAAGGAAAACAGGAACTCAATGGGAACATACACGTGACAGATCGCCTCCCCTCCGCCGTAACAATCGGGGAGGGGGGGGGATCAGGGAGCCATGGCAGAGCAGGGGACTCAGGAGGCCATGGCAGATCCTCCGTGGGCTTACCTGGCTCGGCCACGGGTATATGGCCCACCCCCAAAATTTTTCTTGGGGAAATCTAGGAATCCTGGGGGGTGCTCTGGAGGAGCGGGCACTAGATGGCACTCTAGAAAGCGCTTACGAGGAGCGGGCACTGGAG